TTTTCCTGCTGCCTCTACTTCTCCCAGCATTATTGTCTTTTCCAAAGAATCTGCCTTCTCACGATGCGCCCAAAGCAGGGCAGCCTCAGTTTTATCATTTTATCTCCAGTAATAGGTCAGGCTTAATTTGCTCTAGGACCCACTTGTTCATCTTTCTGGCAGTCCAGGGCGTTCGTAGAGCTCTCCTCCAACACCACATTTCAGATGAATCCATTTTTTCCTGTCAGCCTCCTTCACTGTCTAGCTTTTGCACCTGTACATAATAATGGAGAATAAAAGGGTGTGGGTAACCTTGGCCTTGGTCTCTAATGACACTTCCTTACACTCGATGATCCTTCATAATTCTTTCTTTGCTGCCCTTCCGAGTCTCAGTCTTCTCTTGATCTCTTGGCTGCAGTCTCCGTTTGAAATGATGACTGAGCCAAGGTAAACAAAGTCTTTAACAATTTCCATGTCTTCCTCGTCTACGTTAAGCTGTGTAGTTCTTCTGTGGTCATGATCTTTGTCTTCTTGATGTTCAAATGCAGCCTGCTTTGGCTCTTTCTTCTTTCACTTTCGTCAGAAGTCATTTCAAGTCATTGCTGCTTTCTGCCAGTAAGATGGTGTCATTGCCTATTTTAGATTGTTGATATTTCTTCCACCAATTTTCACTCCTCCTTCATCTGAGACTATCCCAGTTTTTCATATGCTATGTTCTGCATACAAATTAAACAGATGGGGGATAAAATGCACCCTTGCCTGACACTTTTGCCTGTAGGAAACCATTCTGTCTCTCCATAGCCTGTCCGGACAGTGGCTTCTTGTCCGCAATACAGGTTATGTATCAGGACAGTCAAATGCTGAGACACACCCCTTCCTTTCAGGGCAGCCAAGAGCTTTTCATGATCCACGCAGTCAAAGGCTTTCCTGTCATCTATTAAACAAAGACTAACGTTCTTCTGAAATTCTTTGGAGCGCTCTAGTAGCCAAGGAATAATTGCGATCGGATCTCGTGTGCCTCTCCCTTGTTGAAATCTAGCTTGGACAAAAGGCATCTCTTGCTCCATATGAGGTCACAGCCTTTGCTGCAGCACCTCGAGCATCACTTTACTTGCACGGAAGTCAGAGCGATGGTCCCACAGTTTTTGCACTCCTTCGTATCTCCTTTCCTGGGGGTTGGGATGTATATTGAGCGTTTCCAGTCTGTAGGCTATTGTTTCATTTTCCATATTTGTTGGCATATTCTTTTTAGGATTTTGACAGATTCAGTCTCTGTGACTTGTAACAATTCTATCGACATCCCCTCTACCCTGGTGACTTATTTCTTCCCAGTGCTTTCAGGGCAGCTTTCCCTTCACTTTCTAGAATTACGGGTTCTTCCTCACAGGAATCTTCTTCAAAGGCATCTGTCATCCTTTCTTCTCTTCTGTATAGATTTTCATATTCTGTCTCTCCCTTCCCTTATCTTCTTCTGATCAGATAGTGTGCTTCCCTGCTGGTTGTTTGGCATTCCTAATCCAGATTTAAATTTCCCTCTGATTTCTTGAATCTTCTGGAAGAGGCCTCTTGTTCTTTGTTTTTGTTGTTTTCCTCCATCTCTTTGCACTGGCCATTACAGTGGTTTTCTTGATCTCTGCATGACAGTCGCTGGAAAACTGTGTTCAGGATTCTCACCCTGCTTTTGTCACCTTTTACTTTTGCTTCTTGCCTGTCCTTAACAATTCTTCGTGTTTCTTCCATCATACGTCTTGATATTTTTTTCTTTTTACTTCAGGCATTGTTTTTTCACATCTTCCTTAATAATAACTCTGGTTCCAGTCCATAGTTTTTCTGGTTCTCAGTCAAATACAAGATATGTAGAAATACAACACTACGTAGATGGAGGGGCACGGAGGAAGAAGTGTGGGAGAGGAGAGAACGGAGAACACCTTTAGCTGGAGAATCAAATCATGAAATGAAAGAGAAAGAAAGGCTCCTTCAGAGGCTCCCACCACCTCCGAAATCCCAGAATCAGAATTCAGGATGGTTTTCGTTTGTCATGTTGAGAATTTGTTACCTGGAAAGACAGCACCAAGGGCTGTGTTCCAAAGTTAGAAGCTGAGATATGGGTATACATTGCAAGACCAAATATTTAGGAAATACCTTTTTCTGGAAAGGAAAGAACACATTTCACAGCTGAGAAGAGAAGTGAAAGATGAAACTAAAGAAGCATGAAGGTAATATTTACTTACTAGATTTAAACAGTGCCTACCTTTAGAAAAGCCTGGGTATAAATCCAGCATGTGCCCCCCAACACACACACGCTCTGTTCTCAGTTCTCTGGCTCTTTGCGAATTCTCTGAGGCAAAACTTGCAATCATTTTACTGTTGTTTTCAACTGTTCATTCCCCTCTCTCACCCCAGCTGACCCTCAGTCATCTGCTCCGAGAGTAGGATGACGTACGAACATGAGTTTGGAGTCAGACACTCCTGGGCTAAGTGCAGGCTCCACAGTTTACTGGCTGGGTGACCCTGGACATGTAACTTAAGTCTCTAATTCTCAGTTTCCACATCTGTAAAATGGGGATAATAATAACAACAATAACACCTACCTGATCCTTGCAATGAGGATTAAATGAGATAATGCCTGTGAAGCAGCTACACAGTACAGAGCACTCAATAGTCTCAGCTGTTATTATTAGTCCTGTACTATAGTGTGTGAAGGGCGTGCAAACCAGTTTTAATATTAGTATCAACAAATAATCAGGTACTTGGCCTATAATGTATCCTAAAGCTAAATGGAAGAGATATTTGGATTTGTGTCACTTCTAATTTTCTCTATTAGCTTGAAAATTGAGTATGAACACACCAGAATAGTAAAGAAGTCCGATTTCTCTTGTGACCAAAAATCTAAACTACTGTCCACAGTTGAATGAAGAAGACTGATAAAGCTTAAGCCCTTTCCCAGGGGCATTTTCATTTTAAACTGGGGCCCAAACCTTTAGCCAAGGGAATGAAGCTGGTGTGGTGAGGAGTCAGACAGCAACCAAGGGACAGAGGGAGGCATTTCGATACAGTAGCTGTAGCACTCCTGAAACCATCTCAGGTACTCATTCATTCCTTCATTCAACAATATTTATTAAGCAACTACTGTCTGCCAGACATTGTTCCATGCACTCGGGATATACTGGTGAACAAAAGGGGCACAGATCCCTGACCTCATGGGGTTTACATTTTAGTGAAGGATACAGACAAGGAACAATACAATTAATGAATAAGTAGGCTACCGTATATAGTACGTTAGGGGTTAAATACCATGTAAAACGTACAGAGCGGGGGAGATTGGAAATGCTGGGTGGGGGGAGTCGGGCAGACTGTAGTCCTAAATATGGTGCTGAAGGGAGCCTCAGTGAGAAAGTGAGATTTGAGCAAAGGCTGGAAGGGAGGGGGTGCCCCAGGTGGACGTCTGAGGAAAGAGTGTTCCAGGCAGTGGGGACAGCCAGAACAGAGGGCTCAAGGAGTGCGTGTGTGAGGGAGAGACAGAGAGAGAGGGAGCATTTCTGGAATGTTTGGGGAACAGCAAGGAGGCCAGTGTGGCCAGAGCAAGTGGGAGAGCGGTAGGTGAGGTCATAAGAGAAGCTGTCCGTGGCTGTTCGTGGGCATCCCTGTAGGCCACTCTAGGGACCTTGGCTGTCACTAAGTGACTCGGGAGCCTTTGGAGGGTTTGGAGCAGGAGTGCTGTGATTGACATCGTAAAGGGCTACTCTGACTACTGTATTGAGAATGCACCAAAGGAGGGGTGGGGGAGAATAGGCCAGGGAGACCAGCCTCTGCAGAAACCCAGGTGACTCAGACCTGGGGGGCAGCAGGGAGCAACTGAAAAATGGTCACATTTGGGATTTTTCTGAAGGTAGAGCCAACGGGATTTCCTGAAGGACTGGACGTGGGAGGATGAGAGAAAGGAGTGAAGAATGACTCCAGGGTTTTGGCCCCATCAACTCAGACGCGGGGGGCCAATGAGGAACCCATTTTCCACAGAAAATAAGGAATTCAGTGTTTGGATATGTTAGGTTTGAGATGTCTATTAGCCACCCAAGTGGAGACTGAGGTTGGCTGTCTGGCCTGGCATTCAGGAAGACAGATTTGGGCTTGAGGTACAAATTTGATATAGGCAGTTGCTTAAAGCTGTTGAGATGGAATGAATGTGGACGCGGAGGTGAGGCGGTCTGAGGAGAAGACGGTAGAGGTTTCCAAGAGAAAGTTGAGGGCTCCCCGGCCAGGGCTCAGGAAGCCCCACTCTAGAAGAGCCTGGCCTGCAGGGGGTGTCGTGGAACTTGTTTGGGGTGCGCTGAGGGACGGAGGGAAACCTTTGCTCCTCCGGGAAAGACAGGCGCTCAAGAGATTCCTGCCGGGGTGGCAGCAATAATTAAGAGAAGTAGGTAAGGATATCCTAGTAGAACACGTGCTCGGCCGCCTCCAAGGAATTAGAAAACCCGGGTCTATTAATCTGTTCAGACATCTGGGCACCACAGCCTTGCCTACGAGGCTCCGCCTCTCAGGCCTTTCTCTCTCTCCCCTCCCCTCTTCCCATCCTCGCCTCTATATGTCACTTCTACAACCGCTCTGATTGTAATTCATCAAACAGAATCACCGAATCACGGCTCATTTTGCTGTTTTGTTCGGTGGCCCGATCCGCAGAGACCCTGGTGGCTGGGCAGGCTGTAGTGCCCCTCTTAGAATTCGCGCGGAGGCCTTCCCGTCGTGGTCGGCCGCGCGGGGCCGCCGAGGGGAATGAGGCGGGGGCCGCAGACGGCGGGGGGTGTCTGCGCGGCGGCCCGCCCTCCCCGCGCAGCCCCCCGCCGCGCCCCTCGCCGGCCGCGGCCTCGCCTCGCGCCCCTTGACGTCATGCGGGCCGAAGGGCCGGCTCGGGCGGCGCGGCCGGGGCCGCGCGGGGGCTCAACTTCGGGCTCCAGTCCGCGCCGTGCGCCCCGCGCGCCGCCGCCGCCGCCACATCTGGAAGCGTTCAGCGCGTCTGCCTCCAGCGCGCCGGCGGGGAGGGCGCGGGCGCGGCGGCGGGAGGGGGCGAGCGCGCTGCTCTCGCGCGCCCGCCCGCCCGGTGTCTCCCTCTCGCTGCCTCTGCAGAAACAGCTCCTGCCAGAACGGCGCGCGGCGCGGCGCGGCCCGGAGCGGCGGCGCCTCTGCTGCTCCGCGCCTCCCGAGTTGCTGGAGCTTCTTGACAGAAGCGGCCGAGGAGGGCCTCGGGCGGCACTGACCAGCGGCGGCAGAGACGGTTCAGCCCCCTGCTGGCGCGGGCGGACCCCTCCCCCGGCTTGGGGTCCGTCGCGCCCCCGTCCCCTCCTCTCCTCGCTCCAGCCTCTCTCGATTGATTTTTTTCAAACGGTGTGGCCGCCAGAGGTGCGGGGCTAAATTCTTGGAAGGGGCCCGGATGTACCGAGGATGCATTACAATTCCACTCAAGGAGGCAGTAGTGGAAAGGATCAGTTTTTGGTGTTTGATGCAATAACGGGAATCAGGTAATCATCGGAAGGGAAGAGGAAATACTGCGGATCCCCGGCTTCCTTGAATTTTGCACGAAAGCCGCCGCCTCGGAGGAGGGATTAATCCAGACCCGCTTGGGGGTGTTTTGACATTTCTTCCTCTTTGTGGCTTTTTCTTCTTTTAAAACAATTTTTGGTCAATGGTCAATGAAAACACGAGGATGTACATTCCAGAGGAAAACCACCAAGGTAAGGCGGACCCCGCCGCCGCGCCGGGGCTCCAGCCCGGGTCCCGCCGGCTCCACCCCTCTCCGGCTCGCCCCGCTCGCCCCGGGCCCCGGCCGCTCCCTGCAGAGTTGCGGGGCCGCGTCCGCCAGGGGCTCCGGGCGGGGGGCGCCGAAGCCTCGCCAGAGAGGCCGGAGCCGGCGGGACCCGGGCCCGAACCGCCGGCGAGACGGAGCGGAAAATCCCCGCCCCTCCCCCTCCCGTGCCCGGCCGCTCCAGCGCATGTGTTTCCTATGAAATTCCAGGCGAGGGGGAAAAGTTCCCCGAGCGCCTGCTCCGGCCTCGCCCGCTCGCCTTCGCGGGAGAGCTCGGCGGCGCGGCCCGCGGGCCCGGGTCCCTCGCCACCCTCGAGGCGCGACTGGAGCGCGCGCGCGCACCCTGCCCTGCCGGGCGTCCCACTCGCGCCCAGGCGCCCCTTCCCCGGGCAGCGCGCTCCAGGCGCGGGTGGAGGCCGGGGGCGCAGATGGGAGTCTCGGCGCCTCTCTGCCCCCTCTCCTCTCTTTCTCTCTCTCTCTCTCTCTCCCTCTCCCTCTCTCCCTCCCTCCCTCTCGCCCCCAGCTCACCTATACCCACCCACCTCTCTACTGCCTTTGACCTCGAGTGCGCCCACGCCCCGTGTGTTCCTGTTCGCACCCACATGTGGGCTAGCACCTGAGGATGGAAGCGGTTAGAATTCGGGCGGCGTGTAGGCTTTGCTTTTTCATGTTTTAGGGAAATAATAAAAGGGTGTGCCGAGCTCACGCGGCTCCACACTATTGCCCAGTGTTTTCCCAGCATCTCCATCCTTGGCATCAAGTGTCACCAGCTCCCTCTGTGAGGGGGAAAGGCTTTCAGGTAACTCCCCACTTCCTGGAAACTTTCTCCCCCTCACGTATTAACAAGTTATTATTTTTTGGCATTGCTCAGCAATTAAGGTTATAATGGAGTCTGGAGGGATGGTCTTGCTGGAGTGTGGCAGCGGCCAGGTTCCCGTCTGTCTGTCCTCCACGGCTTTCGCTGTCTCTCTGGGTGTAGCCTCTCCCACTTTCCCAAGTCTTCCTGTTTAGTCTCTTCCTTCAGTCTCTTCCTCCTGAATACCTGTGGCTGTTGGTCCTCCTGCTTCCTGGAGTACTTCAGGTGCTCCTCTGAAGACCAGCCTGGTGCGGGGGTTGTCTTCATGTCTCTTCTTTCCAGCTCCTCCTTCTTTTTGCTGTCATCTCCACCATTTGCGGACAGAACCCCTACTCTTTAAAGCCAGAGGCTGCCATCCTCAAACTGATTTTGGGGGATTGTCCAGCTTTCAGCTTGAGTAGCAGTGTGGGGATTTTGGCCTCTTTTGGTAGAAAGAATTATGTCAGGGGTCAGGGATTCCAGGGTGAGCCTAGGCTTTGGGGTCACAAGGGCAGCTTCTGTCGCTGGATTTCTCTGTCCCATGCCCCCATCCCTCACCTGTTTTCCTGTCCCCTTCCCAGCTGATGGAGTAGTGGATGGATTAGGAGGGAGAGAATGAGAGACACAAAGGAGAGGGTGACATTTGTGAAGAGTGGGGATGGATTTCTCCCCTCCAGGTTCTCAGCTCAGTCCAAGGAGCCTTGAAGAGGAGAGCTCAATAGTATTGTCCTTACTATCACCGATAATGGCAGCACTATGGCAATAATTATCGTTCATGCAATGATCATCTTAAATAGTTTATAAGGCCTCCTCTTAGTGCAGGATAAACCCCTTCTTAGCCCTCTTCCTTCTTTTGCACCTTTGTACCTCAGCATCTCCCCTCCCCACATGCACAGATGAAGGGAGCAGACACTAAAAGTAGGAGCACCAATCCTCGAGAGGTTTGCAAGAAAGATGGAGGGAAGGGGACTGAGTGAGCAGTGGCCTGGAGCTCTGCCTTTCCAGCAACATGCCAGTAAACACTATGGCAACCTGAATTCCAGTTTTCTCCCTTGAAGCTGCAGTGATTATATAATTCTCAGGAGCAGTTTTGCCTCCATTCCTAGATGCAGTTCTCAGGTGAAAGAGCACCAGGCTCCCTGTCTCCCCTCCATTTCCCATCCCTTCTTCCTTGGTCATAGGCATTGCCCAGGCTTTTTTGCAGGGGGGAGGAGTGGAGCAGGGTGACGGAGGTGGGGAGGGCAGACCTGGAAGAGCATGACTATTTACAAGGAAGGGGTTGTTATGGCTTAATAACTAAAGGAGTGATGAAACATAAGTGATAGTTAGAGTTTCAGGGGACAGAGAGAGAAGAGAAGCCAAATGATTACCTCAGAGCAGTGATGGTGATGAACCAAAGAGTGGAGAACCAAAACAAAGTTGCCAGTGGCTGGGCTTACATTCTTCCCTTCCTGGTGGACTTGAAGGCACTAATGCATCAGCCCTTCCTCCCCCGACTTTTCAGCAGGGAGGGAGGGTGTGTGTGTGTTGAGGGTTGGGGTGTGGGGACCGGTGGTCCGTGCCTCAGAACAGCCTGGAGGGCCACTGAACATCTGCCTCCTGACCTTGGGTTTCAGGCTGGGAGGGGCTCGTGTGAGCCTCGCCTCACCTCACCTCTAGTGCCCTATCTGTTCTGGTCCCAGGCCAGCCTCCCACTTTTCTGGGCTGATTTTCCATTGCAAGCTCCAGCTAGCAAATGAGTTTCTTAATAGTCAACCGTTTAACAAATAAAACATCAGAATGTCCCTTATGTGCTGGAGACAAGGCAGACGGGAGAAACATGGGTTCTGGGAGTTGAAGGCACACTGTGCTTTTCTTGTAACTACTGAGTATTACAGCAGAATGGTAATCATCATAAGAAAGTAATAATAATAACGATCACAGTTAACTCTCTTTACAAAGGGTCGAAGAACAATGTTGCTTGCACCTCGGCTTGTGCAGGTTAAAGAAAGCATGACATTAGCTTCTCTTTCTCTGGATCCTGCATGGAGGAAACTGGAGAAAAAGGACTACTGAGGTTCAAAATATTGTTCATAGTATAGCTCAGATACTTTTGCAGTGTATCAGAATAGTACGTAATAGAATATATTATGAGAATCAATTATTTCCATAGAGCACATGCCAGCAATATTTAAATGTGTGCTTGTATACACACACACACACACACACTCAATAAGGAAAAGATATTTTAAATAGATTACACAAGAGCCTGATGGACTTTGGGGACCCCATGTGTTGCGGAGAGGAATGTTGGCAATGCAGTCCCCTAAGACTGTTTGGACATTTCTACCTCGTATTAAGTGGAGAATTGTTCTCTACAGGTAGGTGCTACAGGTATAGTGCTTTGCAATGAAATGGTGAGCAACAGCCCCTGGAGCCATCTCTCAGAGTCCTAGTGATGACTTAGGACTCTTCAGTTTTCTCTTTAACCTAAAACTGCCTGAGGTGGGTTCTTCTGTGTATATGACCTCTACTAAAGGAGTCCAAGGGGATCTTGAGGCCCTGCTGGTGTTTGTATCCCTGCTTCCTAGTACAGGCCCCAGCGCCTCATTCCAGGGCCTTAATGACTGAATGAATGCATGCCTGCAGGAACGAATAAATGCAGATCCAGCAAGACCGCCGGTGGATGTGGCTTCTGCCTCTCCCAGTAGGTGGCGCTCCAGGGCTGAGGAGTCAGGGGAGGGGCGCAGCCTGTTTGGTGAGGACAGATGTTGGGAGAGAATTTCCTGTCTGCTCTGCCCCTTTCATCATGCCCACAGCTGCCCTGGTGCAGAGAACCACAGAGACCAGTGTGTGTCCTCATGCCACCACACGCATCAGAGGCCTCCCCGGTGTGACTGAGTCCCTCAGTGACCTTGCTACCCTTGGTAATGGAAACCCACTTTGGGTTTCTCGCACACTTGCACACTCTCACCTCAGACTTCTCTTTAGCTCCACACAGACAGCAGCCGACAGAGCCTCGAGGGAGCCTTCTGGGCGATTAGCTAAACTTGTTACAGCCACATATTAATTTCCCCCGATTTACTCTGGATGGTTTAGTGACTGGAGGGGCCGGTGGTTCCCAAGCCCGGTAGAACAAGAGGTGACCTGAAATTTGGGATCTGTAACCCTGACTTGCAGGGTTACAGAGCTTGTCAGCTCAAAGGCGGGAAGACATTTTCCTAACTTTATTAGGGACAAAACACAAAAAACGCCTGGGTACACTTCCCAGCTGATTTCTGTTGAGTCTGGCCGGTCTGCCGGGTAATGGCAGAAAAGCCCCCAAGACCGAGGTTAGGAAGAAAGGGAGATTTGTTCTAATTTTCAGTGATGTTTTCCAACTCCTGGTGTTTTCTTTTCTGCCCCTTCCTTCACTTGGCTTTCTTAGTTGCTGTGGTGAGCTCTGCAGGGTCTGAGAAACCGTGGTCCGCGGGGTAGGAGGGGGTGAGTGAGTGGCTGACAGCACTCTTCCTTTTACAGGAACTGCTCCTGTCTGGTGTCTGGGGTCCCACCGTTTGCTATGTGGTAGCTTCACGTCAGCCAACGTCATCCCAGCTGTGCCTTGCCTGGACTCTGAAAGCAGTGCTCAGCATTCAGAATCAGGAGACAATTTTATTTTCCACTATGGACTAAAGAAAGCTGATAGATTATTTGGGAAACACCTGGAGGCTTAGTAAGACTATTAGCGGAATAATCACACTGATTTAGCCCTTTTCTAGATTCGGTCCTCGCTGTTGCCTAAGTTAGCGTTGGGCACCGTGGAGGAGAGCAGGAGACTGATGCAAAGAGGCGTGGGCAACTGTTCTGCCGGATATCAGGTGCTAAATGTTTAGCGACATGAGTGCTAAACATTCTGATAATGAAACGGCCCTTCGAACCATGCTGTCATTATTAAAATAATTTAGTAAACACCTGTTTCCGTGTACCTCAGGCGTAGGCATGGCATAAGACAAGGACAGCGGCAGGAGGCCTCTGGGACAAGGGAACGCTTTTCAGGGGTGTCTCAGAGCTGCACGGCCCTCGCGCAAACTCACGGCGCCCAGAGCGAAACGGAGGGCGCGGCGGTGAGGGCAGCT